GTCGTGCGCTGCTTTTGGTGCGCTGCTTGTGATGCGCTCTGGCCGTCTTTCCGCCACGCGTGGGCCGAGTGCCCAGAGTACAATCACGTTCGTTCCAACATCGCCACCAAGTACGAGCTGCAGTCCAACTACTGGACCAGTGTCCCTAGAGTGACGTCCAAGAGCGGGTGGGTGACCATCGGCCCGGGCGTTTCATTTTCAAGCAGAGCCCGAATGATGAGAGCTGGTTGCGAGCTGGCGATCACGATCTTATCGAGGCCCCCTGATTAGCGACTTCGTCCTTTGGATGGTTAGTCTTCGAATGGAGGTGCTACTCCAGAGCTAGGGTGCACCGCTTCACCATCTTCTTCGATGTCAAACATTGTGGCAGGAATTGCAGAGACGACGAATCAGCCAGAGCGGCTTAATTCGGCGCTTTCGGGCAAGGCCTGCGTTTTGCAAATTCTGTGCATTTCGTATTGCATACCAGTGTCGCTTCTTACCGAAGGGATCTATCTTGAACATCGGAGAGCGAATGATGGCATCGTCCGGTCTACAGCCCGTAAGCAGCCCACACTGTTGTCCAAAGATAGCATGTTCCCACCCAGGGCATCATATTGTCTTAATTCTTGACGTTTCGTGTATCCCCACCAGCCTGTAATGGGTAGTTTAGGCCATTGCTAGTTTGCAATTCCTTGACGGCACCTGGCACCCCTGCGCGCTCGCGAACAACAAAGTATCCCCACCTGCCCATCCAGACACGATCGCCAGGTGAGTTGTCTTGATAAGGCCATCATACAAACATACAGTGTGACAAACGCCTTGGATGCCTTTCAGGGGTGCGGGAAGGGGCGGGAGGATTGGTTGCATGAGTCGTCAAAGATGGGTTGAGCAGGTCGACCTGGCGCCGCTTTGGCTCATGGTGGTTTTCTTGGGGTCCTCCTCGACAAATGTTGACCTGCCACGGTTCTGTCATCGGGCAGGGGTTGTTGCACCACCATGCGGCCAGTTGTTCCGAATCGTTTTTTGTTGCATCGCACTTTTTAATTAACATCATGACATATTGCCCCGAGTGAGAGGAGGAAGGAGGAGTAGGTGGAGGAGGAGGAAGAGGAGGAGGAGGAGGAGGAAGGGGAGGGAAAGGGGGAATGGGGGAATGGGAACGGGAATGGGAATGGGAACGGGGAGGAGGAGGTGGATGTTGCACGTGGCCTTGGATGTGTCACTCGTTGTCAATGTTTTTTTTGCCGAACGGGTTTAGAAGCACATAAGATCATATTGCCTGACTTCTAGGAGGAGGATGAGGAGGAGGAGAGGTCTTGGTAGTCCTTGGGGCCTCTTGGAGCATCTTTCGTGCCTCGGAGGGGCCTGTTGGAGCCTCTTTGGTCTCTCGTGGGGGTCTCGGGGGGGGCCTCTTGAGGGCCTCCCTTGTGATAATGGGCGCATCCCTGGTGATCCGATGGGCCCTCCTGTGGCCATCCTGGAGGAGATCGATTGAGGAGGGGGGAGGGTCAGACATTCCCATCCCCCCCTCTGGGACTCCAAGGTGGCCTCTTGAAGCCATCGTGGGCCGCTCTTGGGCGTCTCTTGGGCGCTCATGTGGCCGTCTTCATGCCGTCTTTGGCCTCTCGTGGTGCTCTCTTGGGCCCCCTTGGGACCAGTTTGAGGCCCAAGATGCCCGTCGGAAGCGAACAAGCGAGACGCCCAAACACCGTGATCTGCCCCAGGTGTTTGAAGGATGTTGACCTCTTGGGGGGTGCCTTGGGAGGCTCGGAGTTCACTCGGAACTCTCGTGGGGCTGTCTTGGGCCGTCTTGGAGGCTCGCCAGAGGCCATCTTGAGCGCTGTTGAGGTAGCTTGAAACATCTTGGAGACCCCCGTTGGCTGCCGAGGGCCCTCTTGGAGCCATCTGGGGCCACCCTGGGCGCTTTGGCGGCTCCGCCCCCGCCCCCCCCCTTCCCAGGCCCAGGTGAGTCCTCCTCCTCCTCCTCCTCCTCCTCCTCCTCCTCCGCCTCCTCCTCCTCCGCCTCCTCCTCCTCCTCCTCCGCCTCCTCCTCCTCCTCCTCCTCCTCCTCCTCCCTTCGCCCACCCCCTCCCAGGCCCAGGGGAGGGGGCATGGGGGAGGGGCACACCTCCCAGCAGGGGAATGGGGGGTTTGTGGCAAGGCCCTCCGTCGGACCACTCCGCCCCGTAGGCTGGTGGGGTCATCCCGGGTCCCTGCCTTACGGTGCACCCCGCGGCAAGGAGCACAGGGAAACCTAGCCAGCGTGAGTCTGCGAATTCACCACTCCTGGACGCAATCTCTGCCTGAGGTGCAGAGCAAACCATCGAGGCCAGGAGGTTCGAGCAGGAGATCAAAAGGCTTGAACCAAGTAGAGTAAGGCCGCTTGTTCGCCGAAGGTTTCACGATTTGTGCAGCCTTCACCCCGACGCAAGATCCACAAGTATCACCTATGTCGACGCCCCTTGGCCACAAGACAATACAATCAACTAAGCTAATTGAGGTAAACGTTGGGGGACCTTCCTCAGCACGACTTAGCGGCCTTCTCTTGGGTAGGGCCCCATTGCTCCCCAAGCAGCAGAGCGAAGGAGGAAGGATCATAAGAGCAATGCGGCAGCAAAGGGCTGTCCCGATCCAGCCAACACGGGTCGGACCTGCTATTGATATGTGCGTGCGCGTGTGCGCGGAATCGTGCGCTCTGATGTATCAGAAACGTCTGAGAGAAGGTCTCGGAGGCCAGAGCACCTCTCGCCCCGTCAATGGGGCGAGCCCCGACGCACAGCAGATGCCGCTGCCGAGCAGCCGTGGGAGCATCATTGGGGCTCGGCGCCCGAAACATCAGAGACCGATGGGCTAGAGCGGCCCTCTGTGGGCGTTTGTCAGGGATATTGCCTTTTCCTTCTCCTCCTCCTCCTCCTCCTCCTCCTCCTCCTCCCACGTTGCCTTCTCCTCCTCCTCCTCCTACTCCTACTCCTCCTCCTCCTCCTCCTCCTCCTCCTCCTCCTCCTCTGCGGGTGCTTGTCAGGGATGTGCCTTGCCCGCCGCTCGGCGGAGTCTCGTTGACCCTCCCTCCGTCTTCCCCAAAGCTTGAAGGGCCCCAGGGACACACCAGTAGATACACACAGATGCCAGGACCTCCCATCGTTTCCTACATGTTCTGGGCTTTCGACTTCCCCGCCACTTCCCATGCTTCCCCACAGTGCCCTGGGAGTCGACGGATCATTGTGTCTGTGTGTGTTGCCCTTCCAGGCATCTCTCAGTCCAGCACAGCTCGAATGCATCCGATGTGTTGTCCGGAGACGAGGCCAGCGCGCACACTTATTCTCCAGCTGCCTCCAGCCATGCCGCCACCGCGCCAGCTCAGCAGTCTGGGTGACAGCGAATCCAGAATGCAGAAAGGTTTTCTGGGGCCCCCCGGGGGCAGAAGGCTCGAATTCGTGGTTCGTGTTCCCAATCTCTTGGGTCCGTCTTGGCGCCCTCTTGGGCCGTCCCTGGCGCCCCTTGGGCAGTCGTTGGCGCCATCTTGGGCCGTCTTGGAGCTCTCTTGGGGGCCTCTTGAGTCATCTCGGGGGGGTCTTGGGGGCATCGTGGGCCATGTTGGAGCGTCGGATGCTCGAAGGGGGGAGAACCCAAACCGTATTGCAACAGCTACGGAAAATCATGTGTTCTCGTTTGCCTTTGGGGGGCCTCGTTCGGCCATCTCTGGGCCCTCTGAGCTTTCTCGGGGAGGAGGGCCCGAATGGTGGGTTCGGGTTCACCCTCTGGGGCCTTCCTTGAAGCCGTCTCGGAGCCCTCTTGGGCAGTATTAGGCCCTCTAGGCTCGTCTTGGAGCCCCTTGGGCTGTCCTGGGGCCCTCTGGGGCCGTCTTGGGGCTATATTGTGCTGCCTTGGGGCTCCCCCTTGCCCTTCGTGGTCGTCGGGAGGAGCCTCTTGGGACCCTCGTGGGGCCGCCTTGGGCCGTCGAGGGGCCCTCTTACGGCCGTCCTTGGGTCCTTCCTTGCGACGTTCTTGAGTCCATGCTGGGCTCCTCCACCTCCTCCTCCTCCTCCTCCCCCTCCTCCTCCTCCTCCTCCTCCTCCTCCTCCTCCTCCTCCTCCTCCTCCCCTCCGCCTCCGCCTCCGCCTCCGCCTCCGCCTCCGCCTCCTCCCCTCTTCCTCCTCCTCGACGCCCTGGGAGGAGCCTCTTGGGACCACCGCGGGGGCCGTCTTGGGCCGTCGAGGGATCTTTTTAGGCCGTCTTGGGTCCTTCCTTGCGACGTTCTTGAGTCCATCCTGGGCTCCTCCTCCTCCTCCTCCTCCCTCCTCCTCCTCCTCCTCCTCCCTCTCCTCCTCCTCCTCCTCCTCCCCCTCCTCCTCCTCCTCCTCCTCCTCCTCCTCCTGCTCCGCTTCCTCCTCCTCCTCCTCCTCCTCCTCCTCCTCCTCCTCCTCCTCCTCCTCCTCCTCCCCCTCCTCCTCATCCCCGACGCCCTGGCGGTGTGGCGGGGAGCCGATGTCCACTAGGCTTTGGCTCGAGGCTGTGACCGTGGCGGCCCAACTGCCCGGTGGTGCATCGCTGTCCAGGAACTCTCGTGGGCTGTCTTGAAGTCGTCTTGGAGGCTTCCTGGGCTATCTGGAGGCCCTCTTGGGTCGTCGTAGGGCCATCTGGGAGGTTCGGATGCCACTCCTGGGAGGTCCAATTCTGACTTCCCCCTGGTCCGAAATCTGGCGTAATCCCGCTTTATCCCGCTTAATCCAGCTTAATCCGGCTAAATCCGCGGCCGAATGTGGCGTAGCAGCCCCCCAACGGGGCTTAATTCCTTTTAACTATTCCGACAAAGATTTCCATGTAGTTGCTTCCTAAGTGAGGCCTCTTGGGCAGTCTTGAGCCGACGGAAGCTCAAAAAGGCGAGGACGCGAAACTGTGACAACCTTGACGAATTCAACGATTCCAGCCTCTCTGGGCCTTGCTGGAGGCTCTCTCTTGGAGCCGTCTTGGGGGTCTCCTGGGCCGTCGTGGAAGCCGCTCGTCCGATGTTGCCAGGC